GAGATTATCTATCCACCATATCAGTAACACACAGAGTAGCTTCACTGTCCTAAAAATCCCTTGTGCACTACCTGCTTATTCCTCCCTTCTCATGGATTATTTTACTGTGGCTATAATTTTGCCTTTGTCAAGAATGTCACATGATTGGACTTATACAGTAGATAGTCTTTTTGACTGTATGCATTTAGGGTTTCTCCGTATTTTTTCATGACTCCATGGCTCGTTTCTTTTTATTTCTGAACACTATTTCATTTTATGGATATCCCACAGTTTGTTTATTCATTTACTTACAGAAGGACATTTTTTTTTGCTTCCAGTTTGGGGCAATTGTGGACAAACTGCCCCCATAAACATGTTTGTAGGTTTTTGTGTGGATATAGGTTTCAACTCATTTGGATAACTACAAGGAAACATGACTACTGGGTCATATGATAAGACTATGTTTAGTTTTGTAAAGATATCACCAGACTGTCTTTTAGAGTGGCCCTACAGTACTGTTTGGTTGCACCAGAAATAAATGAGAGTTCTTCATCCACATTCTTGTCAACATTGTATGTTTTGAATTTTAGCCATGCTAATAGGAGCCTAGTGGTATCTCATCATTGTTTTAGTTTATAATTCCCTGATGAGGTATAATGATCAACATTTTTTCATATACTTATTTGCTGTTGTTTACCTTCTTTGATAAAGTGTCCAGGTCTTTTGCCTATTTTAAAAATTGGATTGTTTGTTTTCTAATAGTTGGATTGTAAGAATTCTTTGTGTGGTTCGGAAAACAGTCATTTATTGGTTATATATTTAGTGAATATTTTCTTTCACACTGGCTTTTCTTTTAATTATCTTGATAGTGTGTTTCACACATTATAAGTTTTTAAGTTTAATGAAGTTCACCTTATCAATTTTTCTTTCATGGTTTTGTACTTTTGGTATTGTAGTTAAAAGCTCATTGCTAAACCTAAGACTAGATTTTCTCCTAGGAAAATCTTCTAGAAGGTTTTATGATTTTGCATTTTATGGTTGGGTCTGCTATGCATATTGAATTAAGTTTTGTGACAGGCATAAGGTCTGTATCCAGTTTTTTTTTTTTTTTTGCACGTGGATGTTCACACACCCCACATCATTTGTTGAAAAGACTCTTTTCTCCATTGCCTTTGCTTTATGGCAAAGATGTGTCAAATATACTGCTATGGATCTGTTTCTGGATTTCCTGTTCTATTCCACTAATTTTTTTTCTGATATTTCTCCAATATCATATTATCTTGATTATGGTGGTTTTATAGTAAGTCTTGACATTGGATAATTTTAGTCTTCCAACTTTATTCTTCAGAATTGTGTTGACTATTTTGGGTCTTTTGCCTTTCCATACAAACTTTAGAATTAATTTGTCAATATGCGCTAGATAATGTTGTGGGGTTTTCATTAGGATTTTATTGAGCCTATTGCATAAGCAAATATGAGGTTCTCTGTGTTCAAATTGTTCCTTAATATATCAATTATATGACACAAACTAAGCAAATGAAATTAGTGGAACTTATCATAAACAGATATAGATATATATCCCCCTCCTCTCTGAGCCATTTGAAAGTAGGTTGTAGATATAAGACCTCAGACACAATGAGGTCATGTTCCTTCATAACCACAGTATTTACCAATTCCAGGGTATTAATACTGATTCATCGATTAGCTTTTAAACTGTTTTGTGGGGGTTTTTTTTGTTTAGATTTTTAAAAATTCCCTTCCTGGCCTGTGCTAGGCACTGTGATTTGTTGAGATGTGAAGGCAAACAAGCAGAGTTCCTGCCTTTAGAAGTTCACAGACTCCTCAAGATAGACATCCAAGACATTATAATAGGTTGGGATAAGGGCCACTGTAGCTGTATCTGCTTTCCTTTCATTCAAGGAATATGCTAGCAGAAATGTACTTCCTGTGGGGTTAAGATGACTCTTGCCAGAGTGGCATTCTGGAGCCTCTGTCCCGTTACATGATTCACCATCCCGGTCCTGATGGACCTTCCTCTCAACGCAGAGGGACTTGTGCCCATCTAGAAGTCCATCCTGTAACCAACAGGATGTCATTTCCTCCCTTGGGTTCTTTCCATTTCTGTGATTTATCAGGCACAGAGGAACAAGGAGGCCGTTGAGAACCAGCTAAGGGTTGGGGATTTTATCCTCTAGGTCAGTTGTATTAAGTAGGACATAGGTTTGGCCATAAATGCCAGTAATCTGAATTAACTGTGGTTTAGTCAAGATAGGATTTCATTTCTTTTTCACGTGACTGTAGGTAGCTGGCGGAGGGGTGGAATACTGGCTCAGATCCCCCGGAGTCATCCAGTGATGTGGGCTTATTTTGGCTTATGATTCCATCTTCTCTGCCATGCTATGTCACCACGTCCACATTCCAGACAGCAGAATGGAGAAAAGGGCAGCTTCTTCTCTTTCAGGCACAGTCTAGAAACTACATACTTCTGTCCACATTCTGCTGGCTAGAATTTACTCACATAGCCTGCATGCAAGAAGGTACTGAGAAACAGTCTTCATTTGGGAGGCCATAAACCAATATAAAAACGGTGAGTTTTAGTCCATATGAGAAAGTTAGAGAGGATATTGAGGACAGCTTGCAGCTTAGCAATTGTTAAAAAAAATAAAAAGACAAAAATGCCTTCTATAAAATTAATCCCTTAAGATGCTCCATAAAAGCAAGTGTAGTAGCCAAATAATTTTGGGAAACATTAAGCAATATTTTGATCTCATTGAGATTCACAACATAGAATGGCATATTAAAGGCTCTGAGAAGTCCTTACAGTAAAGAAATGAGTCCATCTTTGTTTCACTTAAAATAATTTGGTCAAGCCAGGTGTGGTGACACCACACCTGTAATCCCAAGCAGTTTGGGAGGCTTAGGCAGGAAGATTGTGAATTCAAACCAGCCTCAGCAACAGGGAGGCACTAAGCAGCTCCGTGAGACACTGTCTCTAAATAAAAAATACAAAATAGGGCTAGGGATGTGGCCCGGTGATTGAGTGCCCCTGAGTTCAATCCCTGGTACCCACCCACCCCCCAAAAAAGATAATTTGGTTTTAAAAAAAATCCCCTTTACAACTTTTGAAATTTTTTTCTTTTTTTGCAGAAACTCTATTAACATAAGCTTAAGAATCATAGAAGTTTCCTTAGTTTAAAGCAGTTCTGCTTTTAGGGATATAGTCAACAGAAATGTGTGCATGTTGTTTCAGTCAAAGTTCAGTCAATCAGAGGAGTAGAATGAGGAGAAACATAAAAGGATTTCCTGCAGGAATTGTTCGGTGGAACAGTGGGAGCTAGTGGGCAGCCTGTGAAAGCTGTGGTCTTGTCTCTGAGATGCTGCTTGAGATCCACTTAGTAGACAGTCATGGAGGAAGGGCAAAAAGGTGGAAAGGGGAATGTCTGGAACTTATGATGGACAGGAACCTGGCTGGGTCAGACTCCAAGACATGGATTTCCTATAGGAAGAGCTGGTGTCCTTCATTATGGAGTTAAAAAAAATACCTAGCTTAGAAGTCAGAGAAGCTGAAGGAGCATCTAGCATTGGCAGGCCTGGCTGCTGCCTCTCACCTCTGTGCTGAGCCTGTGACAAGCCACAATGGAGGTGAGCTGCCTGATGCTCCCACACTCATGTGAACACAACATGGCTACTGTTTCACTTCTGACTTCCAAATCTCAACTGGAAATATACAAGGTAGGGAATTCTGAGTATAGTTTAGTATAACCAGGTTAGTGCTTTACAGAGATACTACCCATATATTCACCAGATGACAAGTACAGAATTTTGTTCACAGCAGTGCTGGTTGCAGTAGATTTAAACTGAAAATAAACTAAAGGGGCATCAACAGTTAAGTAGATGAACTGCTAGGCATATGACAGAAGTCATAGAAGAACAAATTGTTGCCACATGCATGAAGGTGGGTGTCTCCTACAAGTATATTGAGCAAAAGAAGACAGAAAAACTATGACTGCATTTATAGAAATTTCAAAAAGAACAAAGCTAATTCATGAAGTCAGGGTCTTTAGAGAGAATATGACTTGGAGGGCTCTGAGGGGGCCTTTGGTATGCAGATAATGTGCTTTCTGCTTCTTGAACTGGGCTGTAATTAAATTTAGGTAAATCGAATGGGTTGTGTAGTTGTAATTTGTGCTCTTGTTACACTTCAGTACAAAGTTTAGGTACATTAGAGTTTTACAGGCTGTTGAGCAGTTGTGGACAGGCTGTGTTGGAGAAAGAAAACTAAGTGGGAGCCTGTGGAGCGGGGAAGGGAAAGGCAGTGGGCACTGGCAGACACAGCTTGGTGGAGAAAAAGGAAGACAGAACCTATAGAGGGCCATGGTGGCTCTGTCCTGGGTTTTCACTCTTCCGTGCTGGCCATGTGTTGTCATTGTGATGAAAGAGGCCCTCACATGGATTCTCACCTCTGGCACACATCAGCAGAATCTTCTGTGTGGCAGGGCAAGGAGAGATTGATTCTGTAGAACTCAGCAAGGTCTCTGGCACTTTTATAAATTCCCCAGCTGTCCTGATGCATTCCACAGGGGAAGCCCCACTGAACTATGTACATAATAAACATGGATGGAAGGAGAGGAATACAGGAATGTGAGGGAATGTGCTTCAAATCCTTACTGTTGTTCCCAAGCTTACCCTCTTACCACTCTTTCTTGTCCATAACCTTGGCAAGCACACTACTATTCTAGTCTTTCTGTTTTAGGAAATTTCTATTCCCTTTTCAAGCTTTTTGTTTTAGTGAATTCATTAGTTGGCTGGAATCAGGATTCCTCCTTTGCAAATAAACTACTTGAAAACGCCTAGTGGGACTGGATACACCTGTGGCTGTCTGCTGCCTGGGAAGGCCGGACTGTGTTCTCTGATGCCTCACACAAGTACCTGACACACTGTTGTTGACTGGGATTATGGATGGCATTTTTGATGCCTAGAAAATTAGGGTATGGAGTGTTAATAGGAAGTTTGTTCAGAAGTAAAATCTCACAAGTAACTTAGTGTTTTATTTTGAAAAATTTGGAATAGGCATGAAAACAATAAGGAGTATTCCAAGGCGTTCTCTGGATTCCCTCAGTCTGGCAGACGTTTGTCCTTGCTGCATTCTGAAATTCCACTTTCTGTGACAGCACTCACCCTTCTCTTTCCTTTTTTCTTTGTCTTTGGACTCTTCATGATCAGGGGCTGTGTCTTGTTCTATTTTGTGTCTCCAAAGTTGACCTCAGTAATTAATGATGAGTGACTTTGTCCCCAAATTCTGGAAGCAAAGAATTGACAGTTGACCTTTGAAGAAGGGCCACATTTGGGGAGAGAGGAGAAAGAGGAAGGGAAGCAGAACCACACTGATCAGAGGAGTGGGGAAAGATCCAAAATAGTATTCTGTCTGGGAAATCAGTGGAAAGGAGAGAAACTTTTAAGAATTGAGAGATACCACAAAGAGGTCAGTGGGAATGAGGATTTTTTAAAAACAGAGTTTTGGGACTCATCAAAGTTATTAGTGTCTGAAGAAAGGTGAGATGGAAACAAGATCGTGAGGGATTAAGGGAGCATATGAGATAAGGAAATGAGGGCAGAAGTGAGGCCATGAGAGGGAGATCTGGAAGTGGCTGAGAAAAATGGCGGAACACAAGACAATCAGCCAAAAGAGACTGTTCAAATGAAGCAGAGATAGGGTTCCCTTGCTGCCCATCCTCTGGTCCTGTGGGGTAATCCATTGGGTCCTGCATGAGACAAACCCATGAGCCTCTGTGTGGCTCTGTACCAGGCTGAATCAGCTGTACATATTTGAGAAGCCATGTGTGGTACATATAAAGCCCTTTTCTTTGAATAATCTTGTTTCTTTTAACTTGTATCCTCCTTTTCCCACAGGAAACATGGTAGAATGGTGCTTACCTCAAGACATTGACCTTGAAGGTGTTGAATTCAAGTCTATGGCCAGTGGGTCCCATAAAATTCAATCTGACTTCATGTAAGTACTTCCAAACCTCGGTCTTGTATCATTTCCTTCCACCCACCCCTGACACTCTCCAGAGCACAAGAGCTCTTATGGGGTATTCAGGTAGGGTATATAAATGTTCTGAAAATATATGCATAGTTTGTGCTCATATTAGTTTTCCAGCAATAAGGTCTCTAGCTTTCATCAAGTTCTCAGTGGGTTTCATGATCCCCAAAGGTAAGAACCTCTACCATAGAGGTTCTCTGACTTGCTAAGAAATAATGTGGACCTTGCTTAATGTGGTTTTCAGCTTAGTGTCGATTAACTTAAGACATCTAGGTGCCGAAAGTTGGAATTCCAGCTTTAAGTAAAGCCAGTTTTTAGTTCTGTGTAATTGGTGCATTGTGAGTTTTGTGAGGAAGAGCAAGCAGAAAGACCTTAAGGGTAATTTTGTAGCTTTAATCCCATTGTACTGAAACCATAGCTGATAGAGTGTGAGAAAGGGGAAGAAAATAAAGTGGCAGAAGTATTGAAAACTTCAGAGGCTCAGGAAGTGAGAGAAGAATCATCATGGTTTATGCCAAGAAAATAGGCAGCTAGTTCCAGAGGGGCTTAGAGATGGATCTTGGTCTGGCTGCCCCATTCTGGTCAGGATGGGACAGGACTGTGTCCATATGTCCATGGTCATGGGCAATTGAGCAGCAAGCTCACCAGATGTCCTGACTGCAGCTAGGTGACCCTCAGCTGGCGAGTTTTCTATCCCTGTGAGCTTTGTCTCTTCTGTGAGGTCAAGTGGCTTGTTTTAAGGCTGAACTTTGTTATTTGGAGCTCTGGATACAATTTATTTAGTTTGGAATTGCATCTTAAAGAAAAAGAGAACAAAAGAAAACAAAACAAAATCTCTTCCTGATTTTGAGCCCCACTATATATTTTGGTCTATTTTAGCTATTTTCGAAAGGGGCCTTTCTTCGGCCTGGCCTGCTTCGCCAACATGCCCGTGGAAAGTGAGCTGGAGCGGGGTGCACGAATGAAGTCCGTGGGCATCCTCTCTCCCTCCTACACCCTGCTCTACCGGTACATGCACTTCTTGGAGAACCAGGTTCGGTACGTGGCTTCCATACAGATGTGGGGTGGCAACAGGGCCTGCCAGCTGGCACATGCGAGCAGTCCCTGGAGATGGAAGTTGTGCCAGAACCACAGGTGCCCTTCCAGGAGGCGTGGGGTGGTCTTTTTCTTTCCGCCAACATCTTGTAAAATAGTCCTTCACGGTGTAATGAGTGCTGGGTGAGTTTGCTTTCAGTTTATACTAATGCTCTCGTCGCACGTAGTTAAATAATTTGTTGAAATGTACGTGATCTTTGTTTACCCTAAGATACAATAATTAGGTCTTTGACCCAGTAGTCAGGCAGACTTTAAACTTCTTATATGTATAATTATTTACTATTTGAGGTCATGGGAGGAGAATTTTTAACAGAAGCAGCAAAATTATTAGTTACTGTTTTGTTTTTTTTTTTTTAATTATGCAAATAACCTAATTACCTTTCAGATTATGAGGGGAAATCTATCTCTAATCCTAAAATCACTGCTAAAATTTTAGCATATTTGCCTCTTTTCTGATATATGTTTTTATACTTAAAGAAAATACTTGGCATCATCCTGTATAAAAACTTTTGTAGGCCATTCCTTTAGAATTTATCATTATTTAAAAATTTTTAAGAATACCTATCTTGAAACAACATGAAATTTATTATTTGTGAAAAAGTATGTTTATTATTTTAATATTTAAAATACAAAATAATCAAAAAATTCCTCTCAAATATTAACATTCAAAGATCCATTGTCAGTATCAGTGAATATCATTTTAGAGTGGAAATACTTTGCAAAGATAGGATTAATAGCTTATTAATCTGACGATTTACTTTTTCAAATAGGCAATTTTGATGAAATATGTTAAACATAGTTTCACTTGTAAAGATCAGAAAAGCTGGATCTGTCCTGAAGTATATATGGTTATTCCCTATGGTTGAGCATTTAGCATGTTTCTTGTTCTTTCTTTCTTTCTTTCTCTCTCTCTCTCTTTCTTTCTTCTTCTCGCTGCTTCTCTATATTCTGGAGCTGAGCTGTAATGGTGAACATCTCTGCATCTTTTTTTTTTTTTTTTTTTTCATGTGTTTGCAATATTTCCTCAATTTTATGTCTGGCTGAGACTGTAGCTCAGTGGCAGAGTGCTTGCCTAGCACATGTGAGGCACTGGGTTTGATTTTTAGCACCATATAAAAATAAACAAAGGTATGCTGTCCATCTATAACTACAAAAAAAAAAAAAAAACATTTTAAAAAGAAGTAATATTATGGAGTTTTTAAAAAGGAACATTTTTTATGGGTATCCTGAAACCTTTAGGAAGTTATTTCTTTTTTAAAAATTAATATCACAAATAGGCAATATATTCTTTTTTTTCTTTAGGTGGACACAATATCTTTTATTTTATTTTTATGTGATGCTGAGAATCAAACCCAGTGCCTCACAAATGCTAGGCAAGCACGCTACCACTTGTGCCACATCCCCAGCCCTAGGCAATATTCTTACAGCTCAGAAACCTAAAATTATAAGAAGATATTATGCTAGTAAGGGTCCTGGCTGAACAGTAATAACTGAGGCTCAAAAATACAATGACTCAATTAAGATAGAAATTTTTATCTCACACAGTAGTTGAGATAGGCAGGTAGTCAAGATGGGTGACCTGCTGTGTTCCATACAGTTGTGCAGGGACCCACTTCTCCTCTCTCATTATGCCACCACCATCCTAATAGTGAATTTTTTTTTTTTTTTTTGTATTCTAAGGTATTGTCTGAGTTTTCAAAGCTGCTCACCACTAATACACCTGCATTTCAGCCCACAGGAAGGAGGGAAAGAAGAGAAGTTTATACATCACCTGTCACATCTATTATCAAGTTCTCAATCACAAAGATACACCTATCAGCAACATAGACTGGGAAAAGTGTAGGTGTGTGACTCTGTGACCACTTTACATTCTTGAGCTTTGATTATAAACAGAAAGAATAGACTTTGAGAAAATAATTAGCGGCTTCTGCTTTAGTTTTCCCCTTTGGCTATCCATATATCCACGTGCACTCTTCTTCCCAAATAGAAGCCATTTCTCCCTCACCAAAAAGAATCAGTGTCTAGGTGATGCCTCTAACCTAAAATTCAAGATTTCTGTGTGGATACACATCAGTCCTTCATTAGATCAGGGCCTGGTCCTTCTTACCTTGAAAACCTATAAAACTATAGAGAATTGCTTCCATTCCCCACCTCCCCAATGCAACATAGAAGGTGAAGTAGGAGCCACTGTGCAAGTTCTTACCTGGAAAAGTGAGGGATGAGAAATACAAACAGTCATTAATCCATTGCAGTGATGAAATTCTGTTGAGCAGGGATTGTACATAGTCCTTGTCCTGCAGAACATTGAGCTCTTGGCTGAATCTTGGTGCTGCCGGGTAGAACAATGCCTTGTCTATAGTTCTCTATGGCTCCTGGCCTGGCCTTTTAGCCCCATCTGAAGCCATCACTGGAGGACATGTCCTTGCATGTATTCAAATGCTCCAGAATACATTTCTTACTGGTGCAGGTTTGGGGGTCTAATGGTCTTTTCAGGAGTTGAGAAGCCCTAGGTTTTTATAGGCCAGACATGTGGCACTACATGCCTCTCAAAAACGAAATAGATTCTCATGACTTCCAGTCTGTCCCAGGTCTCCACTCCAAAGATCTCTTTTGGGACAAGGTTTTTAAGTCAGTGGGGTCTAAATTAGTTACTGGTATCTATTCCTGACCATCCCTTTCCTCCTCATTTCAGCAAATATTTGTAAGCTGTACCCTTTATTTGATCTTTCAAGTAGACTGACTTCCATGTCTGTCCAAGAATACTTAACTAAAGAATTTCATTTAAGCACTGGGAGAGAAGAATTTAGGTAGAGAAGAATTTGCTTTTCCAGCTCCATGAGGCTCCAAATTATTGGAGCCTCAGTTGATTTATTATGTAAAATTTAGTGGGGCTGGGGTTGTGGCTTAGTGAAAGAGCACTTGCCACACCACATAAAAATAAATTAAAGGTATTGTATCTGCCTAAACTAAAATAAATATATATTTAATTAGAATACACTGTCCTTAGTTACCTGTATTTTCTTCTATTTCTGCTCACAAGCTGGGCAGTTCTTACCTATTTTCATCTTACTCTTATCTTGTATTGGTATTTTTTTTTTCTTTTTGCTCACTCAGAGCAGCATGGAGCAGGTGAAGCTACATGTTCAAATGACACAGGGTCTGGCTTCAGCTTATTAAAGTTGACAAGGGTCACCAGCTTTCTAGTCTGAAATAGCTATGATTTTTTTTTTTTTTTTTTACCACCTTCCCTTTCTACTGCTAAGCCAATGCCACATTGTGGTTTTTGATACTGTAGTATCTCATTTTAAGGTCCATAACTTCTGCTTTGGCTAAAATTCAGGCTAAGTTACTATAATAAAGAGGAGACACAAAGCACTGAAAACAAGATAGAATTTCAGCTTTTCTACCATGAGATAGAAATTTCAGCTTTTCTCCCAGAGGAAGAGAAGCCATCTAGTATGGGGTGGTGGCTCTATTGCACTGGTTCTTCTGGGATATAAGTCATTCTCTTACGCCATCCCCTAGAGCGATGTCTTCATCCACAGGGTAGACACTGACTCACATTATCATATCATGTTCCACCAGGAGAAGGACGAATGATGCTGAAGTCCCAGAACTTGAACACCTCACTTCTGCTCAAACTCCATTGGCCAGTTCTTGGTGACTGGCCACACCTAGCAGAAAGGGAGTCTGGGAAAAGTAGTGTGTAGCTGGGTGTCCATATGATCACTGAAGTTTGGAAGGTTTTATTAAAAGAGGAGTAGAGCAGCAATTTCCATCCCTGACGCACGATGAAAAGTCTTCACCTAGTTCCCACATCTATTCAACAATCCCAGCAATCACTGTTCATTTCTCATGTGTCTTCCCAAGTTTGTATGAGGATATAAACAAATACAGATGTGAATGCTTATTTTGTTCCTTTTCACACAAAAGGTAACATGTTTGTACCTCACTTTTTTCATTCAACAGTATGGGAGATCTTCTCACACCAGTACCTTGAGAACTTCTTTGTTGTTTTTCACAGCTGTATTATATGACCTGTATAGAAGAACGGCACTTTATTTATCAAGTTTACTCCTGATAGGCATTTGGTTGTTTCA